GCTTCTGTACAAAAAACAAATTGTCTCCAACATTAGACTTCACAGAGGCATCCAAGGTCATAGAGAAGGAATCCTAAAGACACGACATTATCGAAGTGGCTATTCGGGCTCGAGCCTGAAAAGCCCCCCATGGCTATTCGGGCTCGAGTCTGAAAAGCCCCCCATGGCTATTCGGGCTCGAGTCTGAAAAGCCCCCCATGGCTATTCGGGCTCGAGTCTGAAAAGCCCCCCATGGCTATTCGGACTCAAACTCCAACAATGCGCGTTACTTTGAATGACTGACCTTTGTTCTCTTTGGAAGGGTTTTAACTTTTCTCTTCTTCATTCCTAACCGGACTTCTAATTGAGCAATGATTTTTGTCTTTCTCTTCAAATAAAGCGGGTTTTAACTACCTATTGATAGTTAGAATCCTTTGTTGTTCTGAAATTTTGATTTTCAATTTTTTTTTTCACTGCTTTGAGCTCAGATTTCCGTTTCTCTGTTTGCCTTTGTTGTGTAGTATTTCAGATTTTGCAACCGTTGTTCACTTTTGACGTCACTATTACTTTTCTTTAAATTTGTGTCGAAAACTTCGGCCAGATCGTAAAAACCAAGGAAGGCCAAGGTCGATTTGCCTGTCCGCTTCACATCCGGCACACGCATTGGAGTTTGAGTCCCAATAGCCATTGGAGGCTATTCAGACACGAGTCCGAATAGCCGCTGCCTGAGATTATACTTGTTCTAAGCCCTTTCTAAACACTTCCAAACTGAGACCTAGAGTTAACCACAGACTCTTGCTGTTTGTTCCTAGCATGTTTTAGTTCTAGCTCCTCATGTATACAGCACACCTAGTGACAACTTATTCTGTCTTTCTTTCATTCTTCTCCTCTCATCGTGCATCAACATCCCTCCAAGGACGCACACAACAAAACTCTGAGCCAGGAGAAGCCGTTAGCGAGCCAAACAAACAAACAAACACCACACACACACACATACAACATAGCTGCTCCGACCCTGAATTCCTCACACCATCTCTTGAACAATCCAAGTTTGAGGGAGTGGAAACTCAACTTTTCTGTAGGTATGTGCTGATTAGTAGTAGGAGACGAAATGTTACAGATCACAATCCCCCCCCCCCACCCCCCTCACACACACACACACACCTCGTCCTTCCCTCCCTCCCTTCCAGTGGTACAACCTTGCACAGAGATTCTTGAACCCCGCGGCTCCCAATGACAGTATCTCTCTTCTCCTCTCTTCCACTACACTTGTCTACCATTCCCGTCTCTCTTCCACTACACTTGTCTACCATTCCCGTCTCCCTTCCACTACAGTTGTCTACCATTCCCGTCTCCCTTCCACTACAGTTGTCTACCATTCCCTTCTACTACAGTTGTCTACCATTACAGTTGTCTACCATTCCCTTCTACTACAGTTGTCTACCATTACAGTTGTCTACCATTCCCTTCTACTACAGTTGTCTACCATTCCCGTCTCCCTCCAAGACAGTTGTCTACCATTTCCATCTCCCTCTACAGTTGTCTACCATTCCCATGTCCCTCCACAACAGTTGTCTACCATTTCCATCTCCCTCCACAACAGTTGTCTACCATTTCCATCTCCCTCAACATGTCTACCATTCCTGTCTCCCTCTACAGTTGTCTACCATTTCCGTCTCCCTCCAAGACGGTTGTCTACCATTTCCGTCTCCCTCCAAGACGGTTGTCTACCATTCCCGTCTCCCTCCACTACAGGGCGTACCATTCCCATCTCGCTCAACAATTGTCTACCATCCCCGTCCCCCTCAA